AAAAAAAAAATAAAAAATAGAGATAGAGAAATAGAGAGACGAATAAATAGATAGATAGATAGATAGGTAGATAGATAGATAGATAGATAGATAGATAGATAGATAGATAGATAGATAGAAAGAGAGAGGAAAAAAAAAAAAAAAAAAAAAAAAAATTGCAAGGCAAAAAGTGAAAAATACAGATTGAAACCCCTTTCATTGGTATACTTTTGCAATCAGTTAGCTGGGCATTGTCATTCTTGCCTCTAATTCTTAGATACTTTATCTACATTATACATAACATGATATTGTGCAAGCAAGGAAGGGAGATAGCTCTGCGATAACATGCTAAATCTTTTGTTTATGAATGTAGTTGTACAAACTATTGTCGTTTTGTCAATAATATATTGAAGAACAATTCTCGTTTTATGTTTTTCTTTTTTTCGTAGATAATATGTTATGACCAGTGCCCGTTATAGGGAGTGTTTGAAATAGACCGCCCTCACCAAAACGATAATCGTGGTGCAATTATATCTTTATTTTGTTGTCAGAATGAAACTGTACATTACAATCGACATTGTAAGTATACTTTGCTCCTCCTCGTGCATCTTTATAATGTTGGTTTCGTATACACATCATGATGTCGTTCGCTGCAACTGATGGATGATGGATGATATTGTTCGTTTTACAAACGAATGCTCTCTCTCTCTCTCTCTCTCTCTCTCTCTCTCTCTCTCTCTCTTTATATATATATATATATATATCCGTGGTTTGCCCCTTTCCAACAAAAATACACCCACACACACACGCACTCATATACACACATACTCAAAAATATTGGATGCACACAGACTTAAAAAGATGACACAAATTGAAAGAATATGATGTCTGCAGCTCTTTTCAACATATGGCATTGAATGTTGAACACGTACGAGTAACATGTGACACTGCATGTGACCCTCTCACAACCGCTTCCTTGTTCTTTGTGGTAAAGGGTGTCTGTGAATTACAATGTATTGCAAAAGACATAAACCTTTCATTAAATGCACCAGACAACAATCGCACATTCATTTCTTGATTTAAATACAATTTTATGACTAAAGGAGTGTGAAACAGTGTACGAAGGATTCTGAGTAATCTTCTTATATTCTACAGACACTGCATGTCCGTTCGCAATGTATACTCCTTTGACACGTCGTAGTCGGCAGGTGCGTTGTAATATCATACAAAATATTGCAGTCATATTGAAAATGAATACGCACCTGCCGACCAACGTAGCATTGAAGACAAAAATAGTTAAAGTTATGTAGTTGCGAAACATTTTTATCAGAATTTGTGAGAGTCGTGTGTTGCTTTGACAATCTCTTTGTTTAAAGTATGTTGGGACAGACTTGACGACGACATCACCCCTGTATCATCCCTGTTCCTTGGACACGGGGAAACCCACACATGCCACAACATACGTAGACTACAAAATACAATGTATTTTTTTTTTTTCACTGCTAAATTTTCGAAAATGAGCAGCAACCAAAACGGAGTCTTCTCAGTACAATATTGTGCATGTTTGTTGTAATAAAGAGTGATGATTATTCGTAGCGGACGAATAATTTTTTTATTTTTATTTTTGAATGATGTTGGTAAACTGTTTGTAAACAAACTTTCAACAATTTTTAAACATGAGAGGCTGTTTTTATACAAATTTGCAACATAACTTCAACTGATTAGGCTGTTTTTATACACATTTTCAACATAACTTCAACTGATTACAAACTGTTGGTCCATCACTGGAAAGATATTGTCCCGTATGACCAGTGTATTCAAAAGGAAGATTTCATTGGAATCTCATATGTTCAACAGGATACCCTCATAAATTGTGTAGGAAACCTGATTTTCAACAGCTGAATGTAGTACAAATTATACAAAAATTCTGCATGTTCCGAAGCTGCATTTTTTTTGTTGCATTATTTCCAGATCTTCGTGGATTAGGATTTTTGTTCCTCCACATGTTCCTGTTTGACCTTCAACTCCTCTCGTTGGCGCCCAATATTGCGGGTCAGACCACCAAGCGGTGTTTAAGACAAGTTTTGTTCATCCTATTTGGATTTCTTGAATACATGCTATAACAACGTTTTTGAAGTGCAGCCATGACTTAAGTCTGTCTCGTTTGCGTTTACTACAAAATCCTCTGACGTTCCACGACACTATGTGCATAGTGCCCTTAGGCAGCACAGGTCGTGTTAACGCGGGGGTTGTTATGGATCCGATCAGTAACTGAAGCGCTTATGTCCAGTTGCTTGGGACGGCGTGCTCCTTTTCCCCCTTTCACGTTTTGTTGTTCCAACCACGGAACTCTCAAAACATTTGCAAACTCGGGCTTGAAGATCAAGTTCTTGTGAGCTGACGTTACCAACCACTGTGCAACGGTTTGGGTTGTCATTGTTTGCTTGAATATTATATTCTTCACGCGTTCGTTTGTCGGGAAATCCAAGATGGACAGAGGGAACCAGTCCTTGTCCATAGTTGCTAGTTGTTGCATCGTGGCGTTATCCATCTTCGCATCCAAAAAAACAAAGTACGATCTTGCCTTAATCCCCTTGCCATCTTCTGCGGTGAAGCATCCGATCGGTACAACAGGGATCACTCTCACCCGTAAGAAATTGAGAATTAGTGGCTTAACTTTCTCCAGAATAGCTAACTCGGTCAGAGCCCCTTATGCATCCGCGGTGGGTAGCTCAAGAAGGCCATAAGCCAACTGCGTCGCCAACACCATTACTCTTTTGTTTGAGTTAGCACAGATCAACAGGATCAACACTCTCTGGATGTTCATGTGAGTACGGTCCAGGGGCTCTATCGGGTCCCCCAAGCTCAAGCCGCTTGGGAGGAGCAGTCTTCGGTATCTATCTGCTCCACTTGATCCATCCCTACGAAGGTCCCCGCCTCCGCCCTGGGCTCCACCTCCACCTGTACCGTCCTCGTTCATCAGTCCATTGGAGGAACGATTCTCAGATGAGGGCGTCATCGTCGATTCTTTCAATATCGCTGTTGATATTTCTTTTACTTAAGAATCTCAGTCTTTTTCTTTTCCTTCCTCATTTTCATCAACTTCTCGTTCTCTCTTCCCCTTTCCATTTCCTTTTTCCTTTCCCTTACCATCTCTCTCTCTCTCTCTTTCTCTCTCCTTCTCCCTTTCCTTCTCCCTTTCCTTTTCCTTTTCTCTTTCCATTTCCTTCTCCTTCTCTTTTCCTCTTCCTTTTGCCATTTCGTTCTCTCTCCATTCCCTTTGCCCTTTCTCTTTCTGGTCGTTTCTTTGCCCTTTCTCTTTCTAGTCGTTTCCTTTTCCTTTCCCTTTTCCTCTCCCTTTCCTGTTGTTCTGTCGCTTGATAACGTTTTCCGTCTGTGACGTGTCCTTCCAATCTCCCCGTGGGAGACGCCAAAAATTGTTTGTAGGTGGGGTTTCCCTCATCGCTACAAACCTGGAGAACGGAGGTTCCGAGGGGGGTTGACGTGGACTTGGATTGTCGAAAGGATTGATCTCCTTTTCGGGGCATGTATCATCTGTTTCCACGTGATAAAAGGTTCTGCATGCGTTACACCAGGGGATGTTTGCTGACAGGATTTCAAAGTAATAATCCCCCTGGTTTGGAATGTCCACCGCTAGCCGAGGACGAATCCTTGGTTGCGCGCATGTTTCCAGATCAAAGCGTATGCTGCCCAATTTGGGTTTCTCGTCGTCTTGTTCTGTTGGATACGACTTTTGAACTTCACCAAACGTATTCTGGATTGCTACTCTCAGTCTGGACATTAACTGCAATGAGACTCTCGGGCAGCGCACCCAACAGACCTTTGAGCCCATATCTTTAAAGATTTTCATCTCTTCCAAGGTCATCCATGGCAGAAAACGAATATCGTAGTCCTTGTCTTCACAACGGATTTTGTCCTCTTTCTTTTCCAGCATCCATTGAATGATTGATTTTTTCGATGAGACAAACGATGCTAGAGTCTTCCCTTCACTTTGATATCTCCCTCTAGTAATGTACTCATCCACAATCCTTGCATCATACCATGCATTCTCGTATACCCGAACTAGTTTTTTTTTCAAGGAATAAGAAAGGGTAGTGGATTCATTTTCAAAAATCATCGTCATTGCATGATCCTTCAACCACCGAATGTTTATCTCAGAAAATTCTTTCTTCAAATCAAAGCGTGCAATATCGTCACTCAATTGGGCCACGTCAATGTTCACCCCTGCTGGAAAGATCTCATCCTTAAAATAGGCATCGGGAAGTTTCCCAATCTGTTTTTTTTCCTCTTGGTTGTAGACCCGATTGACTGTCCTTGACCCTTCCATTGACCTAAATTACTCGAACGTTAAATAACCTACTAACTTTTGTCTCTTGTTAGTAACCTCGATCAAAGGGAATAATTATATATATATTAGTTATCAATCGTGTGATGGAGTTGGAGAAAGTATGGAATATACCGTATCTGGTTCCCGTTGAAGTCACGTACTTCCCAGCTTGGGGATGGCTTCTGCAGGTCACCGATGTCATCTCGCTTCAGTTCAGTCTTCACGACATCTTCAGTCTTTTGCGCGCATGGACGAGCGGTAAGGGGCGATAACCAGGCCTCTACAGGGAGGGGAAAAAGCCCGACCCCACGGGGGTCGTTGCCTACTCTAGGTGAGAGGCGGCTTCCCGAGCCACTACCACCATAGAACTGTCATTTTGTCAAAATGTATATTTTTTATTTTTTGAACGAAATTGAAACCGAGTTTTTTGGCCGAAAACTCGTCAAAAATTGTTGTTCCCGAGGGTCCGGCATTTGTAAAACGTTGGACCCCCTGGCTGTACATGGACCTAGCTTGAGACCAGGCACCTCCACGCAGTCCTGCCTGGAGGTTCCTGGTCTCAAGCTACAGCGAAAAAATTTCCTATAATTAAATAATCATTTTATATTAAAATTTCAATCTAAATTTCAAATTTTTATTCCATCTTAAAAAATGTCATTCCAATTTTAAAATTTTTCATCTTATAGGGTATCCCTTCTTATTTGGACTGAATGCTAGAGATGGAATGAAAGTCTGGATGAGTTCATGAAATATTTTAATTGGACAGTTATTCTAAGTAAGGATTTTCAGTCATAAATAGGTTAATCCAATCTAAATTAGAAGATATTTGTTGTAGTAAAATAAAAAAAATAATTAAAACATTTCATAAACTCGTTCAGATTTTCATTCCATCTTAAATAAATAGATGTAGATGGAAGGGAAAACTCATATTTAGACGGGAACTTATAAAATAAAACTGAAAATTCTAGAATTAGACGAACATTGGAATGATAATTTATAAATATGAAGGATTTTTTCTTTATGGAATGTTTTTTCAACTTTCATTTCTCGTGGGAATTTTACTGTTGTAGGTCCATGTACAGCCAGGGGGTCCAACTTTTGGACCCTCAAGAACAACAAATTTTGACGAGTTTTCGACCAAAAAACTCGGTTTCAATTTCGTTCAAAAAATAAAAAAATGTTCATTTTGACGAAATGGTCGTTATAACTAACTAGGTGGTCAAACAGCACGATGTTTAACCTTGGTATTGTCAAGAACGAAACCGTGGTCACCGGGATAACCGCGGAGAGTTGCGCTATGCTCGTCAACCAGCGCGGAGCCTTGGCCGCCCTCATGCCAAGAGTGGCATTTTTGGCGGTTGTTGCAGTGGTTTTCGCCACTTTCGTGTGTCAATACGTGGCAGTTACGGCGGCCAACAATCGTCGAAGGGACTTCGTGTATGAGAGGCGTGCATTCATAACCCGATGTCTCTTGATAAGGAAATCCCATCACTTGCCTCCAATCACCAATACAACTACAATGTAATAACCCTACTTATGATGTGAGCACCCTATCTACTTCCTACTACCTGTACTCATGCTAGCCTCCACCACCCGTCTATCTGCCCACATGTCACTCGCCCAATGCTGCTTGAAGAATGGACTTTTACTATCGCTCCCTTACCAATGCCATGTAAGATCCGAAGGTCCTCACTGTCGTTTTTCTTCCCCCACCTCCACACTCCACCACTCAGGTTCCCTATGTCCAACCTAGGCAGGTAGCATCAGAGACATACCAAAGTTGCTCTTGTTTTGGGCATTGCACTCCACCGCCTTGCGCAACAACCTCGCCCCTCGGAAGTGCCTCGGACATGGATATGCTCGCACATGCAGTATGCACACTTGGCTATGGTAGTGCGCATGTGGATGTGCACCCGCTTGCACATGTACATGGGCACGCTCACACGTGCACACGCATATACACGTGCTTACACGCATATACACGTGCACACACACATACTCACGTCACATGCACACACACATACACACGTGCACACACACACACACACACACACACACACACACACACACACACGTACACACACACACACGTGCACACACACATACACACGTGAACACTAAAAAAAAAAAAATTTATAGCGACGTTTACTTCTGACTTTTTCTCTCGATCAGTTCTCCCTCTCGCCCTCCTAGGAGAAAGTTTCACTTACCCTGACTAGCCGCTTCTCGCCTTTGATATCTTTCCAACTTTTTTTTATTTAATCCGATTTCGTCGGGAACCCCCACGAGACAAAAATAATGAAGTACACACACGCATACACACGTACACAAACACATACACACGTGCACACACACATACACACGTGAACACTAAAAAAAAAAAAAAAAATCATAGCGACCCTTATATCTGAGAAAGTTCCACTTACCCCTACTACCCGCTTCTCGCCTATGATATCTTTCCAGCTTACGATTGAGAAGGAAGAATCGAGGCAAGTACGGCCTTGCCCCTACTCCTCGTTTTCTCAAACTGCGATGGCGTGAAAATGAGAGATGGGTGGCGGCCTTAGACGTAGAGTAGGCATGAAACTATGGGGCTAAGCTACCCTGAATTGCTTGCGATCTCTCTCATAAGGCACTATTGAGCGAGAAGACAGCCATGCGATCCCCCTGTCATGTTCCTTCCTTCTTCTTCTTCTTCTTCTTCTTCTTCTTCTTCTTCTTCTTCTTCTTCTTCTTCTTCTTCTTCTTCTTCTTCTTCTTCAACTTCAACTTCTTCTCTCGCTCTATCTCTCTGCTTACTACCTCAGCTTCTTCTTCCGCTCTGTCTCTCCGGTTCTACATCAAAGATGAAGCATGGCCTCTCCTTTTTGTTTGTTTCTTTCGCTCTATCTCTTCTTTCGCTCTATCTCTTCTTTCGCTCTCTCTTCTTTCGCTCTATCTCTCCGGTTCTACATGAAATCTGCTTGTGGCTTACTACCTGAGCTCTATCCGTTCACCTCTCCTGTTTTTTTTTTTTTTCCTGATGAGATGTTCCTTCTTCTTCTTCTTCTTCTTCTTCTTCAACTTCTTCTCTCGCTCTATCTCTCCGCTTACTACCTCATCTTCTTCTTTCGCTCTATCTCTCCGGTTCTACATGAAAGATGAAGCATCACATGGAAAATCCCCTTCCTCCTCCCCACGAACACTCTCTTTGGAAAAATATTAAAGACAAGAAAAAGCGAAAGGAACATGTAAACATTCAGGATGAAGTACAATGAACGGAATGCAAACCCTCCCCAAAGAAGCAACCCTGACAGAAGAGAGTGATCATGTTCGCATTCAAGATCGAATTTTGATTTATGGCGAGTGTTGCACATACTAGGGTCACAACTGTAGGTGACCTTTGGACAAAAGCTGGTACTTTTCATGCATAGCAATTGGAAACAAGATAGCCATTCAGACAACAGACCAACATCCATGGAACAGATCATGCGGTCACAGTCCATGGAACAAATCACGTAATACACTCCACACGTTGAAAACAATCAGAAGATGACCTTTTGTGGGACTTGGTGCACAGAGAGAGAGAGAGAGAGAGAGAGAGAGAGAGAGAGAGAGAGAGAGAGAGAGAGAGAGAGAGAGAGAGAGAGAGAGAGAGAGAATAATGTCTGACCAAGTGCTGGTCCCTGGATGGACCGGGGGACCTGCGACGGACCGGGAGCCTACCGGTCCGACCGGGCGGTTCACTGGCCCGGCAGGCCCCCGGTTCAATCCGGCGCACAAGTTTTGGGGGGCGGTACGGGGGATTTTCGGGTGTCCCCATCCCCGCCCAGCCTCTCAGAGGCCGCCGCCAGCAGGCAAAAAGAAGCGGGCCCTATCGGACCCCGTTTTCATTTGAAAACGTTTTCATTTGAAAATGCGCGGCCAATCTCCACCGCCGATCGGTGCAGATCGACAGTGGAAATCGGTCGCGCGTTTGCAAACGAAAACGGGGTCCGGTAGGCCCCCGTTTTCAAATTTGAAAACGCGCCCGATTTTGGCCGCATATCTGCGGATCTGCGGCCGAAATCGGCCACGTTTTGAAATCTTCATCGGTCCACTGGGCTGCCTCTGCCCCTCCGCCCCGCCTGCCCCATGCTACAACAAGAAACGCACGACGTTGATGTCGCGCCTTTTTGCATGCGCGTCGACGTCGTGTGCTGCCACCACGCAAGAAGCGCCAGCGCCCCGTCTCGAGCCCGCCACCGACATCTCTCTGCAGCTGCTTCGCTCCGCCATCCCGCTTCGTTGCAACCGCCCCCCATAGCCGCGAAGGTAAGTCCACCAATGCCCCTCCTCCTCCTCCTCCTCCTCCTCCTCCTCCTCCTCCTCTTCTTTTTCTTCTTCTTCTTCTTCTTCTTCTTCTTCTTCTTCTTCTTCTTCTTCTCCTCCTCCTCGTCCGCTTCTTCTTCGTTTTCTTCTTCTCCTCCTCCTCCTCCTCCTTCCTCCTCTTCTTCTTCTTCTTCTCTTCCTCCTCCTTGTCCTCGTCATCTTTTTCCCTCCTCCTCCTCTTCTTCTTGTTCTCCTCCTCGTCCTCTTCTTCTTCATCTTTTTCCCTCCTCATCCTCTTCTCCTTCTTCTTCTCCTCCTCCTCCTCCTCCTCTTCCTCCTCTTCTTCTTCTTCTTCTTCATCTTCTTCCTCTTCTTCTTCTTCTCTTCCCCCTCCTCGTCCTCATCATCTTTTTCCCCCGTCCTCTGCTTGTTCTCCTCCTCGTCCTATTCTTCTTCATTTTTTTCCCTCCTCCTCCTCCTCCTCATCGTCTTCTTCTTCTCCGCCTCCTCCTCCTCCTTTTCCTCATCCTCTTCTTCTTCTTCTTTTTCTTCTTCTTTTTCTTCTTCTTTTTCTTCTTCTTCTTCTTCTTGGTCTTCTTCGACTTCGTCTTCTCCTCCTCGTCCTCCTCCTCCTCCTACCTCCCTGTTGAGCCCGAGCCATAGCGGTAGTGTTTTTATTTTTTTCCCCATCTCGGATTCTTCTTCTTCTTCTTCTTTTGCTGCTTTCTTCTTCTACTCCTCCTCCTCCTCTTCTTCTTCTTCTCCTCCTCCTCCTCCTCCTCCGCTGCTTCCCTCCCTATTGAGCCATAGCCATAGCCATTGCGTTTTTCTTTCTTTTTCTGTTTTCGTATCAGATTCTCGTTCTTCTCCTCCTCCTCCGCCTCCTCCTCCTCCTCTTCTTCTCCTCCTTCTTCTTCTTCTTCTTCTTCTTCTTCTTCTTCTTCTTCTTCTTGTTCTTCTTCTTCTTCTTCTTCTTCTTCTTCTACTCCTCCTCTGCTTCCCTCCCCGTTGAGCCAGACCCATAGCCATAGCTTTTTTTTTTTTTTTTTTTTTCCCGTTTTGGTAGCAGATTCTCCCCGTTGAGCCGTAGCCATAGCCATAGTCATAGCCATAGCCATAGCGGTTTTTTTTTTTCCTTTTCCGGTTTCGTATCAGATTCTTGTTCTCCTCCTCCTCCTCCTCCTCCTCCTCCTCCTCTTCTTCTTCTTCTTCTTCTTCTTCTTCTTCTTCTTCTTCTTCTACTCCTCCTCTGCTTCTCTCCCCGTTGAGCCAGACCCATAGCCATAGCTTTTTTTTTTTTTTTTTTNGCTTTTTTTTTTTTTTTTTTTTTCCCGTTTTGGTAGCAGATTCTCCCCGTTGAGCCATAGCCATAGCCATAGCGTTTTTTTTTCTTTTTTCTTTTTCCGTTTTCTTATCAGATTCTCGTTCTTCTCCTCCTCCTCCTCCTCCACTTCCTCCTCCTCCTCCTCCTCCTCTTCTTTTTCTTCTTCTTCTTCTTCTTCTTCTTCTTCTTCTTCTTCTTCTTCTTCTTCTTCTACTCCTCCTCCTCTGCTTCCCTCCCCGTTGAGCCGGACCCATAGCCATAATTTTTTTTATTTTTTATTTTTTTTTTTGTCGTTTTGGTAGCACATTCTCCCCGTTGAGCTGTAGCCATAGCCATAGCCATAACGTTTTTTTTTTCTTTTTCCGTTTTCGTATCAGATTCTTCTTCTTCTCCTCCTCCTCCTCCTCCTCCTCCTCTTCTTCTTCTTCTTCTTCTTCTTCTTCTTCTTCTTCTTCTTCTTCTTCTTCTTCTACTCCTCCTCCTCTGCTTCCCTCCTTGTTGAGCCAGACCCTTAGCCATAGCTTTTTTTCTTTTTTTTTCTTTTCCCGTTTTGGTAGCAGATTCTCCCCGTTGAGCCATAGCCATAGCCATAGTGTTTTTTTTTTCCTTTTTCTCGTTCTTCTTCTCCTCCTCCTCCTCCTCCTCCTCTTCTTCCTCCTCCTCTGCTTCCCTCCCCATTGAGCCAGACCCATAGCCATAGCTTTTTTTTTTTTTTTTTTTTTCCCCGTTTTCGTAGCAGATTCTCCTTCTTCTTCTTCTCCTCGTCCTCCTCCTCCTCCATTTCTTCTTCTTCTTCTTCTTCTTCTTCTTCTTTTTCTTCTTCTTCTTCTTCTTCTTCTTCTTCTTCTTCTCCTCTTCTTCTTCTTCTTCTCGTCGTCCTCCTTCTCCTCCTCCACCTCTGCTTCCCTCCCCGTTGAGCCACAGCCATAGCCATAGCGATTTTTTATTTTTTTATTTTTTTATTTTTTTTGTATCAGATTCTCCTTCTTCTCCTCCTCCTCCTCCTCCTCCTATTCTTTTCTTCTTCTTCTTCTTCTACTCCTCTGCTTCCCTCCCCATTGAGCCAGACCCATAGCCATAGCTTTTTTTTGTTTTTTGTTTTTTTTTTCCGTTTTGGTAGCAGATTCTCCTTCTTCTTCTTCTCCTCCTCCTCCTCGTCCTCCTCTGTTTCTTCTTCTTCTTCTTCTTCTTCTTCTTCTTCTTCTTCTTCTTCTTCTTCTTCTTCTCCTCCTGCTCCTCCTCCTCCTCTTCTATTCTTCTTCTCCTCCTCCTCCTCCTCCTCCTCCTCCTTCACCTATGTTTCCCTACCCGTTGAGCCACAGCCATAGCCATAGTGATTTTTTATTTTTTTATTTTTTTCGTATCAGATTCTCCTTCTTCTACTTCTCCTCCTCCTCCTCCTCCCCCTCCTCCTCTTCTTCTTCTTCTTCGTCTTCTTCTTCTTCTTCTTCTTCTTCTTCTTCTTCTTCTTCTCCTCTTCTTCTTCTTCTTCTTCTTCTTCTTCTTCTTCTTCTTCTCCTCCTCCTCCTCCTCCTCCACCTCTGCCCCCCTCCCAGTTGAGCCACAGCCATAGCCATAGCGATTTTTTATTTTTTTATTTTTTTCGTATCAGATTCTCCTTCTTCTTCTTCTTCTTTTTCTTCTTCTTCTTCTTCTTCTTCTCCACCTCCTCCTCCTCCTCCTCTGCTTCCCTCCCCGTTGAGCCAGAGCCATAGCCATAGCCATTTTTTTCTTTCTTCCGTATCAGATTCTCCTTCTTCTTCTCTTCTTCTTCTTCTTCTTCTTCTTCTTCTTCTTCTTCTTCTTCTTCTTCTTCTTCTTCTTCTTTACCCCCCATAGCCAAACTTAAGGTGTCCCAAGGCCACAACCTTCCACACTTTTTCTTTTTCTTTCCCTCCACAAACCTCGGGCGACAGCATGGCAGGTGATGGCAGTGGTGGGGCTGAACCATCGAGACGCAGGTTGGGAACAGCTGGTGCAGACAAAGGGAAAGGCCATGTGTTAGATGATACTGACAGGCCTTCCTCAAGCAAGACGGCGCAGTCCACCACGACGGCCGTCAACAAGGACGCAACACCGGGCATTGACCCTGCTCTCTTTCAAGCCCAGGGCGACAAGGCACACGAGAAGCTGCTGAAGAGGAGTTCAGTGTGGCAGTGGGTTGAACAGGGACAAGAGGCATTGCTGGCAGGGCGTGGGGAGTACTGGCTTAGGTGCCGCCTATGCTCCACCATCTTCAGGGGCTCGTCGACGAAGGCGGTTCATCATTTCCTGAAACCGCAGAAACCGTGTCCTTTTCGGACAGGGGAGATCGTCGATGAGCTTGTCAGCAACCAGCGTGGCAAGGTGAAGTCCACCGACAAGAACACTCGTTACTTGTTGAAGAATGTCAGGGGACTAGCTAGGTGTGAAGAGCGGGGTGAGGAGCGTGTGCAGAGTGGATGTGATGCTGAGGATCCTTTGTCTGAGGCGGTGCCACCACCTCTACCGGGAAGGTCTGCTCCACGGCTAGTTGTTCAGACTCCTGCCATGGACAGTGAGGATGGGGAGGAGGGTGATGAGGTCCCTGGTGAAGCGCAGGTCACTGTCAAGCCTATCGTGGCCAAGCAGACCACAATCAAGAAGTGGATCGACAATCAAGCTCAGAAGGAGTTGGACATTGCATGGGCGGAGACAATGTTCAGGGCGGGCATTCCTTTCAACTGCCTAAACTTCTACACCACGCAAGCTCTGCACGAAACATATCTGAAGGTTGCAAGTGCAAGGCCAAAGGTCAAGTTGCCTTCCTACAAACATATGCGGAGTGTCATGGTTGATTACATCTACCTGAAGGTGTTGAAAGCAATCAACCCCATGACTGCATGTTGGGACACAACCGACTGCACATTCATCACCGACGGGTCCACAGCGGGGGAGAAAGGAGCAGTTCGGGTCACGACAGTGTTCATGACGAGGAGGAAGAAGAACGCAGCAGCATTGGCAAAGTTGTGGGAGCAGATGATGCGTGAGATAGGGTTTCAGCGGATCAACGCGATATGTACAGACAATGCAGAGGTCAACAAGAAGGCGGCTCAGATCTTAGACAGGCGGACCGACAAAGATGTCGCGAAGACACCGTGGGTGCCATGTGGAGCGCACTGTTGCAGTTTGTTGCTGAAGGACTTGAGCAATTTGTCATGGGTGAAGGACATGGTGAAGAAGGCAAATACGATTTTCAAATTCATAAGGAACCACCACTCTACGCACGGCCTCATGATGACTGTCGACGACTCCTTGTCATTGCTGCGCCGAACAGAGGTCCGGTTCGGGTCTGTGTATCAGATGCGGGGTAGGTTGGTGAACAGGGAGCACGTGCTGAACGATATGGTGGATGAGAATTATGGCGCAAGATGGAGGGCACTGAGGTGGTCCTCAGCAAAGCTGCAAAACAAGGCCGACCTCGTTCATTACTCATTGAGGTGTGAGAGTTGGTGGGATAAGGTGAAAAAAATTGTGGCCATCATGGAGCCGGTGTTCAGCCTGCTCAAGAGAATGGACAAGGAAGGAGTGTCTCCCACCAACCTTGTGGAGTACGACGATCTCATTGCAAGGAGATTGACAAATGTCGTACTCACGAACATGGAGCGCGAAAACGTGATGGGGAAGGTGAAGGACAAGGCACATGAGAAGCTGTTGAAGAGGAGTTCAGTGTGGCAGTGGGTTGAACAGGGACAAGAGGCATTGCCGGCAGACCGTGGGGAGTACTGGCTGAGGTGCCGCCTATGCTCCACCATCTTCAAGGGCTCGTCGACGAAGGCGGTCCATTATTTCCTGAAACCGCAGAAACCGTGTTCTTTTCGGACAGGGGAGATCGTCGATGAGCTTGTCAGCAACCAGCGTGGCAAGGTGAAGTCAACCGACAAGAACACTCGTTACTTGTTGAAGAATGTCAGGGGACTAGCCAGGTGTGAAAGGGTGGATGAGGAGCATGTGCAGAGTGGATTTGATGTTGAGGATCATTTGTCTGAGGCGGTGCCACCACCTCTACCAGGAAGGTATGCTCCACGACTAGTTGTTCAGACTCCTGCCACTGATGGCGAAGGTGAAGGACCAGGTGCATATGATGCGGCAGCCGGCACATGCAACTGCCTTTCTTTTGGATCCACGAAGGAGACAGCCTGACTGGCTCAACGATCCAAACAGTGCACCCGTGCAAAATGCAATGCGTTTCTTGCTGAGGCAGATTGGGGGGACGTGGGATTCATAGAAACAAATTGACATGTGGGGGTATCTGAATGAGTTCTTGAGAGAGCCTGTGGAAGGTGAAGTGAGGAAAGATAAGCATATGTGGACCCCCCTTGCTAGAACGACAGCCACGGAACATGATCCGGCGGATTGGTGGTCGTTGCATGGTGGAGATGTTCCGGATTTGCAGGCGATCGCCATCAGAGTGTTGGGAATGTGGAGCACAACAACATCTGCGGAGCGGAATCGGGCATCGATGGACTTTGTCCACTCAAAGAGGAGAAACAGCCTTTCACCGGCGTCCTTGGAGAAACTTGTATACATTCATTGGAACATGCAGTTGCTTCGTGTTCGAACGAGCAAGGACAATAGCTACGTGGATGTATGAGGGTCCTTCGATCCATTGATGGAGCCAACAGAGGAGGACCAATCTCTCGACGATGGCACAACGGAGAAGACGGTGGATGAAGGGTAGGAGGAAAAGAGGCAAAAGAGGTTGAAGAAGGCTCCGAAAAGACGGATTCCCCGCAACCTGTTAGATGAAGACTCAAGCGGGAGCAACGAGCTTGAGGATCTGATATGGAAGGGGAAATGTTGGAATGAGTCTACTTCGAAAGAGAGCAGCGGCGAGGATGATATTGGCGAGGACTCCGACTTCGAGTTGGGGGCTGTGCCAGCGACTGCTTACGTCGGTCGGATGCGCGGGAGGCGAGAGAAGGAGGCAGAAGTGCAGCCTTCAGAACCCGTGGACAGAGTTGACACGTACATCGAGTTTTTCATGCACTGTGTCCCTGATGGTGACCGTGATGCGGACGAGGACGAAGCAAATCGGGCAAAGGCTATGGCGGATAGAGATGCTGCCCTTGTTCAGATGCGGATGCCTGAGGAAAAGGCTCGGCGTGCTGCTATCCCCACCAGGAGGGAGAGAGAGAGACAAAGCAAACAGATCAGCGAGCCGGAGAAGGAGCATCAGGAAGAAAAAGATCAGCAGCAAGAAAATGAAAATATGCAGCAAGAGGGAGAGGCGCCCCACGGAGAGCAGCCCCAGCAACACCAAGGGGAAAAAAATCAGCAGCATGAGGGAGTCGAGTTGCCGGAACATGCCGAAGAGAATATGCAGCGACAAGGAGAGGAGCCGCAGCAACTGCCAGCCATGGTGTATGCACGAAGACCCCGGGCACATGCACTGCAACAGCCTGCACTGCCAGAGAAACAGCCGGAACAACAGGAAGTCCAAACACTAGTGCCTGCAGCGGCAGACCACACCGGCAGACCCCCCTACCCTGCACAGAATGGGGTTGTGCAGCATGACAACCTTTGGAAAAGCAGGGCAGGGCGAAAGAGGAAAGCTCCGGTCCACGAACACCCCGAAAAGCCGCGTCGTGGGAGGCCCCGCAAGGCTAAGTCGGGGGATGATGCTGCAAAAAAAAAACAAAAAAGTGTCCCGGCAGGGCCCGCAAATTGCGAGTGGAGGAGGATGACGCCGACTCGGATGAGGGGAATGCATACTCGCCCGACGATGAGATGAGTGAAAGGGATTCAGAGAGAGAGAGAGAGAGAGAGAGAGAGAGAGAGAGAGAGAGAGAGAGAGAGAGAGAGAGAGAGAGAGAGAGATCGAACTGCTGCAGATGTTTGACTTGAAGGAACTTTGAATCGGGTGTTGAACCGCTGCTCTTAAATTGTCTGCCCTTTAT